TGCTAGCAACCTCTGGCCCAACCAGGGGAATAAGTTAATCATCTGTTTTGAACTGTTGAAAGGAAAGATGTAACAATATGTATGGATCTCAGAGGCAAAACCAGCAACAGCAGAAAGGAGGAGTCTGAAGGAGGAACAGGACATGAAGGGGAGGAGACAGGAAGAGGAGGAGAGTTAGGCAGTCTGGGGCAGAACAGCAGACCCTGTAATAGCTCTGTAAGTAACTGCTATAATAAAGATACTGTTTATATTAAGCAGGGAGCTGCTCCTTGATTACCCACACAGGGTCACATGAAACAGTGGCAAAAGCCATGCTAATATGCTAATGCACAGTAAAATAGGCTGTTGTGCATTGTGTCACTTAAAAACCGTGAGCATTTGTTACTGTACACTAAGGCAGTCTCATGCGCATTTCTTTAGTACCTCACATTGGAGGTACTAAATTTAATGCACATTAGAAAAAAGTGCTTTAATGCATGTGTAAATACACCACCCACTGTTAGGGAAAAACATGCCCAAAAATCATTATCATGGAGCACACCTGATGCATGGTAAAATCCTGCCCCCAGTCTTTTATCTCACTTGTAAATTGCTTGTATCTTCACATTTTCAGGCCTGCCTTGCACTGCTCACCTTATGCCTGCTTAAATCTTATTCTGGCATCTCAGCATGCAAATTGCAGCTACTTAGTTACACCGACATGTAATTTGATCTGATTCCCTAACGCATCACTCAAGTCAATTTAAGAAGAGCTAATGGCATCTGAGTGAGTGCAAAGGAATCTGAGCATAAGAAAATCTACTTTCGCATCAATGAATTTGGCTTCCTGGCTGACAGAATGGAGGAACAACAAGGAAAGAGCCCGTGGCATTGTTTGAGAAACGAAGCAGGTGGTGGTTCTTGCTGATGGTTGAGCAACTGTTTAATAGAATCGGGCATATTTTAAAATGGACATTCAAGAATGTGGTTCACCAATTGGAGATGGTTCTTAAAATAGATAGATAGAATATTAATATTAATGTTAATGATGAATCCCCTGTACTGCATGGTACAGTCTTGTAAGTGGGAATTTATGCACTTCCCATTCTGGGAAACATGTCTGCACCACAAATCTATGGACTACAATATTCCTTTATGAAACAGTGAATCCTAGAAATAAATTTAAGCAGCATAGCGTAGTGAAAGTTTGTCATCTAAGTTTTAGCATGGCATGATGCAACACCTGATTGTAGATAACTAGTTACATGTTTCAACTTGCAAATAATTCAGTAAAGTGGCTTGATTTTAATGTAGACTTTGCTATCCCTTTTTCAGAAGGAAAAAATAAATCTAATTTTGGAACCAGTATTTTACTGGAACTGAAATTATAATCTGTACTTAAACCTAACTGGTTTGTAAGTGAATGTTTCCTGTTTTGTTGAAATCATTCAGATGTGGTTTCAAATAGATTGCACATTTGTGTGTCCTGCCACATACTGATATCCTAGAATTAATATAACTAGTTTAGTTTTCTCAAATAAAATAATGATATTTAATGATATTTTTATTAAACATAGTTTTCCTTGTTGTGTTTTCCTACCTTTTTGTTAATGTAAAACTATTAGTTCTTGCTTACAGTAGGTTGTGTCTGGCAGCAAATGAGCTCCTGCAGGGAAGCTGCCAGAGCACATAGGTGGCTCCTCTGCATCAGCTGTGCTAGCTGGGCATAAAGTGCACCCTGGGTATAAGCACATGCACCTTCTGCTGGCTGGTGGAAGGCAACAGAAGCTGCCTGCAGTCTGAGCTGATTTTATTCTCTGCCTGCAGAAAGAAATGGTTTGCCTCCATAGGAGACCTGTCAATGTGAACACACTTACAGAGGTCTCCCAGAAAAAACAATATAGTGCAGATCAGGCCTTAGTAACTTATTCAGGGACATATCCCTATGCCTTTACTTAGATTGAGTTTTGCGTTTTTAAAAAAACTGAACACCCCTTTCATTTTTCTTGTAGACTAAGGTATTCTTGGTACGTGTAATGGTGGCAGAATCTAGTCCTTGCTCAACAATTAATGTTGGTAGGTAAAGAAGGTCTTTCCCTGAGAAAATAATAATGGGTTTGCCCAACTAAATATATCTGATAGCATTACGTTTTCCATATGCATTTTTAGCTATGGTAAATAATTAAAGCTCTCCCAAAGAAAGAAATGAACAGTGAGGTTTTTGTTTAATCTGTTCTTAAAGTTAAGGCTTGTTTATTTTACAGGTAAATAAAACCTGTTAGGTAGGTTACAGTGGATGTTACCACGTTGTGAGTTATAGGAACTTGCACTACTTTTCCAATTGTTTCAGTATTTACCAGGATCCTTGCTATCGGCGAGCAAGCAGTAGATTTAGACCTCTCTGGGACAAGGAATCTCACTGGTTGAGGAGTGAGGATGTATTCCAGGATCTAGAACAAGTTTGCTCATGTCAGATATTTAACTGGAATAGATCAGCTTTAAAGATATATTGAAGTCAGCAGAGTTATGCTCATTTACACCAGGTGACCATTTATGTTTGTATGCTTCTCTGAGTTACAGAAAGAGTAGGAAGCAGCAGCCAGCACAGGAACCAGTCTTTTAGCTTCTGAGACTTTAATTTGGCACTAGGAAATTAAATTACAGGTGATGACTGGAAAGTGGTGTATTTATAGCCTAACCTGATTGCTTGCTTGTTTGCTTAAGGGCGACTTGTATGAGTGAAGGTTACAAGATCAGGCTTCATTCTTCAGATAAGTATGTTACCTGTGCTCTTTTCCTGTTGACTGTCCAGCAAGCATAGTGATCCCCAGGTTTAGTAAACACAGGCACAGATGAGTAAGAACAACTGAAAAACAGGTTTTATTTGTAGTGCAGTAGGCAAGCCTCTGTAGTCCTTTAGTCTCTCAGCTAGTTAGGTTGCAGCTCTCTCAGGGACCATCTCTCAATTCTCAACTGTCTCAGTCTCTTATTAGGGCGCATCTGTATATTTTAATTTTTATCACTACATCTTCCTTCTTAACAAAAATCAGTTAATACAAAAATCAATTAATACCTGTCTACAGAGGAGAGTTTATTAACATGTCACCAGTGAGTGAGTCTTTACCATTCACTTTCCTATTCCTCCTTTCCTGAAGCTCTTTTAACAAGTCTCTGGGTGCATCTGCATGTGCAGTTAATGCTACCTAGACTTACTGTGCAGTAAGCCAGCCCTGGGAAGGCATTTACATGTGTACCCTGTGGGTACGTCTACACATTCATTAATGAGTTTTTGCTAATGCTCATTAAATTTAGTACCTCTGGGCTCCTATACACATGCAAGGAGGCTGCTCCAACACTGTCATTTCAGCATATTGGAGCAGACTTGATTAATTGAGTCTGCTGGAGCGTGGTAATTACCGTGCTCCAGCAGACTCCAGCGTCATATAGATCAGCATCCCCAAGCTGAAAAATGGGAACAGGGAGCTTTAAACTAAAGCTCATTTGAGCTCATTTGCCCCCACCTCTTGGAGCACATTTACAAATGTCCTCCATTGTGAGGTACTAGAAAAAGGTGCATGAGCCCATTTTAATGCACATTAGCAAAAGCACACAAGTTTTTTGTGAAACTTTAATGAGCATTAAAATAGGCTAATGTGCATTAAGAAGACCCCTCTGAATCTTTCAGGAAGTTTTACTTTCTTCTCAGACTAATAAAGTATCAGATCCAGTTTCTGATTTGTTCTTGGTGGGAAGCTTTTCCTCAAAGGCCTGACTCTTTATACTGAGATCCAGGGACTTGTACTTTTCACAGCTGTGCTTTTGCACCTAGCACAAAGTACATCAGGTACAGCCTGCTGAGGCCAGTTTTCTTTTTCTGGATGACAGTATTTGCATGTGTGTCCATAGGTGCATTTCTTCCCTTAAGGACCTGGTTGCTTCTTGTTTTCTGGAATGATTATTACCAATAATTTCTATCACTGCAGAAGGACTGTCAGCCTTCTGTACTTAGGCCTCTAATATATTACAGCCCATATCATCAACAGCCCTTCAATACAAGGATGGCAGTTTCCAGTAAACAAGGAGGTCATTGGTGAGTGTGGAGATAACTGAGGAGGCTGATCTGAGATCCACACATTCAACTGCAGATGTGACTGATAGTTCTGGGAAGAAAAGTGTATCCTGGTGATGTTGGGTCATGACTCTTTCTCTTTGACTCTCATCTATTTGCCTCCATAGTGAGACATGTTTGCTCAAAACAGTCAATGTCTTGTCATACATCACAGCACCATAGGGGACAACTCAGAGCTTGAGTCTTCCAAGTATTGGTGTTAATATTGCATGTCTTTAGATTGGCTTTCAAGATGTCCTTGAATCTCTTATTTTGCCCACTTCTAGAGTGGTGACCATCCATGAGTGGAAATATACGACCTGTTTTGGGAGCCAGTTGTCAGGCATTGTTATAAAAGTCCTGTCCAATAGAGCTGGTGCCATATAAATGTGGCTGATGTAGGTGATATTTGCTTGAGCTTGAACACTAGTGTTCCTTCTTCTGTCCTTCCAACTGATGTGGAAGATTTTCTGAAGGCACTGCTGATAGTAACATTCCAAGACTTTCATGTGTTTCTAATTTGTCATCCAAGTTTCACACCCATACAACTGGGTAGGGATGACAACAGACTGGTAAACAAGAGGTTTGGTTTGGGTCCTGATGTCAAGATCACTGAAGATACGATTTCAAAGATGTCCAAAGGCAGCAGTGGTAGACTTTATCCAGTTCTGAATATCATCCTCTATGTTCACATTTTGGGAAAGGTGGCTGCCTGGGTAGGGGAAATGCTTAACATTCTCCAAGGACTGACCTTGAACTGTAATATGTGAAAGAGCAGCTGGTTTATTTGGGTGGGTTGGTAAGATATCTTGCTTTTCATAAAGTTGACAGTGAATCCAAGCATTTCATATGCTCCACAGAAGCAGTTAAGAGTGATATGAAGATCTTTGATTGAGTTGGCACACACAACACAGACAGTCATCAGAATATTGAAGGTCAGTAACTGTGGTTTTGGTTAGCTTGGATGGAACATAACTGGTTGATGTTAAAGAGACTTATGTCCAGGCAGTGTTGTATGTTGGCTCCAGATAAAAATCTATCAGCAATGAGATGTGGAATAACTGATATAGAAGGCAAAGAGCGTCAGTATAATCATGCATCCTTGCTTGACTCTAGTTCTAATAGTGAAGGGGTTGGTTTTCAAGCCATGTTGTCAAGAACAAGTCTGTCCTTTGCTCCAATCAGTCACTAGACACCTGGATAGTTCCACGGCTAAAGCACAGAGTTGGTTGCAGCAATTTAATGCCTCGTTAATACTTGTGCATACAATCTGACATTATTTTGCTGCAGAAGCTTCTGCATACAGTTTGAGGAAATTCATTGTCTGAATGCTTTCTGTGAGCATTTGAGATGCTGAGTCATATTGGCAGAAATAAATGAAAAAAGGTAGTGAAAACGGACCAAGAAAATTAAATCAGAAAACAAATAATTGATTACTGGCACAGCTCTAATATATGCCTAGATTGTGAGAAAAAAATTAAACTTCTGAGTGCCAAAAGCTGAGGACTCAGTTAATTAGCTCTATATACACAGTTATAATTGCATTGAAAGTCATCTTGGATTTCTTTTTAATGAAAAGCCTTATTAAGAGAACATTTTTAAATTGCCCATGATTGTCTATCATGCCTTCTGTAGCTTTTTAAAAAATAGCTCCGATTTTTATGGGGTCTCTTTGATTTTTCTTGTGACTCTGTGGATAGTATGTTTTAAACTTTTAATTATGCCACATTTTTATCTGAAGCTTTTTCATGCATTCTAGTTTTAAATGGAGGCAGCAGCAGAGTACAGAAGTGGGACTTGTTCTAGTGTGGGAAGTGGGACCTACTCCAGGCCCAGTAAAGGAGAAAACTTGAAAAGATTCCTACATGGATACTTCAGAGCCTACCTTGCACCCTGTGGCATTGTCTCCTTATTGGAAATTATTGGGTAGAGGAGGAGTGAGAGTAGGGAAATGCTTTTATAAGCCAAAGAGCTAAATTTTGATGGCTGAAAATAGAACAGATGTCTGAGTCCAGCTTATAAGTGTTTTGTTCCATGGAACTCAAGACAATAAGAGATTCTTTTTCTCTGCTGTGACCCCCTTATGCCCATGAAACAGTGTATAGAGGTCAGTATTGAGGAAGGCAAATTCCCCCAGTTCAAGAGAGATGTAGTTTATGTAATCTGCCCTATATTGCACTTCCGCATAGCCTTCAACAGCTGTAGGCCACAGGCGTGGTTAAGGACGGGTGAGAGGGAAATGGTGGCAGAACGTAATTTATAAGGTGGTCAGGCTGGCGGCGGCAGTAGCAATCCCTCGATTTTTGAGGATGATCTCTACTGTGGCTCATTGATAGGACTTAAAGTGACTTCAGAGTCCAATCCTTGAGCAGAAGTTGCAGGGAGAGTAGGCCATAAGCTAGGATTTCTCTCCTTTTCCTTTCTCCATTCCCTCTTCTCTGCTTCAAGAACAAGATACTTCACTTTGAAATGGGCTGGCAGTTGGTTGATGTTGCAGCACCATTGGATTTGGTGGCAGCCAGCTCCTCCCAGCTCTTGATATTGACATCCGTTTTCTTGAGGTACACCTGTAATATGCCTTTGTAGTATTTCCTCTGGCCACTGCAAGATCTCAGGCCATTACAAAGCTAGGAGTAGAGCACTTGTTTTAGGAGTTGAGTTGGGCATTCATACACAATGTACAGTCCAGTGAAGGTGGTGTTTGAGAATCACTGACTCAATGCTGGTAACCTTGGCTTCAGCAAGGATGATGGCATTTGTAAGGTGATCTTCACATTGGATGTAGAAGGTTTCCTGGAGGCATCATTGGCGATACCTTTCCGGGCTCTTGAGATGACAATGGTAGGTCACCCACATTTTGTATCCATAGAGGAGAGGAGAGATGATGACTACATTGTAGACCTGGACTTTGGTGTCTTTCCAGAGATTGCAATGAATAAAGACGCATTGAAGCAGTTTCCGAAACGAGGCATTTGTGCACTGAATCCTGTGCTGGATCTCCTCATCAATGTTCTCTGTCTGAGAGAAGTAGCTACTGAGGTAGCAGAAGTACTCAACTACAGGGTCATTCCCTCAATAGTAATTTGTGGGGGGGGGGGGTCACATTCATGACTTGGGAAGGCTGATAGAGCACTTTAGTCTTCTTGATGTTGAGAGAGAGGCCCAGTGATTGGTAGGCTTCTCCAAAAAGATCCAGTGTATCTGAAGGTTTTTCTCAGTCTGTGCAAGGATGGCATAGCTTTTGGCAAACTGAAGATCAAGGATGGTTGTTTTGAGTACTTTGGTCTTTGACCAAAAACATCCCAGATTGACCAGCTTTCTATCCATTTGGTATTTGATGTCAATTCCAGCAGAAAGGTAGTACTTAATAAGAACCAAGATGACTGTTGAAAAAATGGAGAACAGAGTTGGGGAAATGACATGTCCTTGCCTCATGCCAGTTCAGATGGCAAATGGATCTGTTTCCAATCTGCTACATGGGATGGCTGCAGTCATTTGGTTGGGAAGAAGCCTCAGGACCTTGATGTACTTTTCACAACATTCAAATCTGGCCAGTACTTTTCACAAGGCTTTGCGATTGATGGAATTAAAGGCCTCAGTGCAGTCAATGAAAGCCATATACAGGTTCTAATCATAGAATCATACAAAATTAGGGCTGGAAGGGACCTCGGGAGGCCAGCTAGTCCAACCCCCTCCTCAAAGCACAACCATCCCCAAATAGATCATTCCAGTCAGGGCTTTGACAAGTGGGGCCTTAAAAACGTCCAAGGATGGAGATTCTACCACCTCTCTGTGTAACCTGTTCCCATGGGTGACTGGTGCCTCCCAAGTCTGGAGTGGGGCACCAGATAACTGATGGGGGGGGGGGTGGTCCCCCAGCCGCTGATCACCAACCAGGGGAGAGTCCCTCAGGCTCCCCTCAGAAGTCATGTGCCCCAGCCCCCTAACCAGTTTCATTGCCCTCTGGTGCACTATATCCAATTTGTCCACATCCTTTCTATGGTGGGGGGCCCAAAACAGTACTCCAGATGTAGCCTAACCAGTACTGAATAGAGGGGTACAATAACTTCCCTAGATCTGCCAGCAACACTTCTACTAATACAGCCTAATATGCCATTAGCCTTCTTCAGAACAAAGGCACACTGTTGGTTCATATTCAGCTTATTGTCCACTGTAACTCCCAGGTCCTTTTCTGCAGAGCTATTGCTTAGCCAGTTGGTCTGCAGCCTGTAAAAGTGCATGGGACTATTCTGTCCTAAGTGCAAAATTTTGCATTTGTCCTTATTGAACCTCATGTAACTTCTTTTGGTCCAATCCTCCAATTTGTCTAGGTCTGGCCCTACCCTCCAGTATATCTACTAATCCCCCCAGCTTGGTGTCATAGAATCATAGAAAGTGAAGGTTGGAAGGGACCTCTGGAGGCTATCTAGTCCAACCCCCTGTGCAAAGCAGGGCCATCCCCAACTAGATTATCACAGGCAAATCTATAGAATCATAGAAAGTGAAGGTTGGAAGGGACCTCTGGAGGCTATCTAGTCCAACCCCCTGTGCAAAGCAGGGCCATCCCCAACTAGATTATCACAGGCAAATCTTTGTTTAGGTGGGTCTTGGAAACCTCCAAGGATGGAGATTCCACAACCTCTCTGGGTAACCTGTTCCAGTGTTTTACTACCCTCGTAGTGAGAAAATTCTTCCTTATATCTAACCTAAACTTCCCTTGCTGCAACTTGAGACCGTTGCTCCTTGTTCTGTCACCTGCCACCACTGGGCGTGGGTAGATGACACAGGAGTTAATGTAGACTGCCCGAAAATTTTAATGAGGCTTTTTTTTCGGTGTGGTGCATTTTTGTTTGCATGAACGGTGCTTTCGAGTGAGTTAAGCCCCTGTGTGTCATTCCCCTCAGATTTCAGTAGTGGGAATCAAATACCAGTTTACCCCCTAGAATGTCTTTCCTAATGTATTACAGCAGGAGGCACATGTGAACCACCCAGGTTCCCCAGTTCCTGCTCCCAGACTCTCACTGGGCAGTCCTCACTCTCACTGGCAGTCTCCCCTGGGCACAGTCATGGTCACCCCAAAATCCTTGTCACTTGCACCCGCCTATGCTCATTTGGTGTCATCTCTCTCCATCAGTACATGATCCCAAAGACTCATCCTAATCCCAAAGACAAGCTGTGTGAATCCTCCCTCCCATTCCTTTCCCTTCCCATCCCACCATGCTACAAGTATATGGGGTTGTGGGTTTTTTTCATTAACTATAGCTGCTTAATAACTGCTTTATCATTAGAGTAGTCGGTGGGGCTATGCTATCATAAGAGTAACGGGTAGGTGGGTGTTTGTTGCCGCCCAGTTGATAGGCCATTGCTGTCAGTGTTGTTGGTGGTGAGGTTGTTCTGGCTTTTTGTTTGTTTGTTTGGTTTTTCTGCACTGGACTACATTTCCCAGCATGCCCGAGCTCATTGGTCTTTGTACAGTTTGCAACGGGGGCTCCCTTGGAACCCTCCCGTTCCCTGCCCAGGTATACCATCAATCTGTTTTTGTAGTGCCACATACAGCTTCTGGTGGTGTGTTGTGAATTGTTTTATACATTTTTTTGGAATATTTTTCAAAATGTGGCTTGCTGTTTGGCTTGTTTCCCCCCTCCCTGCCGGGCTCGTTCACATGTGAGTGACGGTGCGTAATGCCCCCCTCCCCCAAACCACTCACAGTCTGGAAGCAGCAAACCCCTGGCCCAGTCCAGATTGCCTCCCCCTTCCCCTGACCATCCTCCCTTCTGCCCCCCATCTGCAATACCTCATGCCCCTATAGACAGACACAGATTTAAAGTGTAAAAAAAGAATGTATTTTTATGTTAGAACAAAGCACTCCTAGGGGTTGTTGTCAGCAATATATCCTGCCAGATAATCACACGCAAGGTCCGCCCAACCAGCCTCT